ATTTTACACATCATTCATGGTTATTGTGGTTGTTGCTGTTAGTATGTTAAAACTTTATTTATGTGTCAACTGTTACATTTCATAACTATTAGAAGAAAAAATATATTATATATAATCCATTTTAAGCTTTCCTGTCATTATAAAAAAAACTATGGCCTGAAAGTTCAAATTTATGATTAATATTACGATTCTTAATATATATATATATATATATATATATATATATATATATATATACAAATATGTGAAGAAATATTAATATAAAAGCCTATCACAGAGGATTATTATTACGATAGTGTTTGTGTGACATAGACATATGCACACACACACATATATATATATATATATATATGGTAGTGGTTTAATATGCACATCTACACATACACACACATAGACAGACAGACAGATAAAAAGCACAGACATACACAATAAGCTTCCCTTAATTGAATTTAAATAAGAAAATAGATAATGTTGATTAGTTTTTATTTTTAGTAGTAAGTTCATTTCGTCATAGTATGATGATGATGACGATGAAGATGATGATGATGATACCAGCTGAACTTGAAGTGATCATTTTTTTTGCGCGTGTGTACACACACACATTTCCATGTGGGGGTGTATGTGTGTTTGTGGTAGTAGAACGACCGGAAAAAAGAAACTGAATCACATTTTTTTTAAGGTCACCTTAGTTATTTTTTGCACTTAATCAAACATGGTGGACATAACGAAGAAGAGATTTTTTTCTCTGTATTCTGACAATTGTAGAGTAGGATTATCAACACACACACACAAAACAATATCATAAATTCTCGGAGTTCTAGTTGAGAAGACGTCGTGACCAATAGAGTTCAACTGTGTGTCGGATGTAGGCAGCAGTAACTACCCACCAAAAAGACAAATGGGTGAGGTCGAGCAAAATCCCTAGATCAATCAGAGATTTAGACATTAAAACCGTTGGATGCCGATGGTTAGGCGTTCGAGCACAATACCGAAGGTCACGGGTTAGAATCGAATCCTGCAAGGTGCAGGAGTCGTGGATGCGCACTGCCAGTGATGAGTCCCACATCGGGGACGAAACGACCATCGTCCAGTGCTTCCAGGTTTCTTCTAACGGCAGTCTAACAATGATTGATTGATGATTTCAAATGTGTAAAAACACGGACCTCCAAAATATCAGAAATCACTATACGATAAATACTATTCACTTTCGTTTTTTAATTTATTTGGTATCTGTGGTCATTTCTTAGAAAATTCTTATAAACAGAGCCTACTACCCACCACTATCACTCCTCCCCCCCCCTCCAATCGCACTTATTTCGCCCAGTTAATAATAATAATAATCTATCTTTCTTCCAACCTACTCCTACACCACAAAACAGCTCGTCGAGGCAGATCAATAGATGAAGTGGTGAAACTTCATCATTTGAGGTGGTTGGTACATGTATTACGTATGCCTTACCACTGACTGCCTCGTCGAGCTATGTTTTGTGGTGTAGGAGTAGGTTGGAAGAAAGTTAGGGGCGGCCAGACCAAAACATGGCACACATCCATGAAGTCACTGACTAGTGGACTGAGTCATGTTGGTTGATGTAGACTACCTGGTTGGGGTCCGTGAGACGATAGTCACCAATGGTTAGAGACCTTGAACGACATGGCTCAGGATCGTTTGCAATGTCGGAAGTGCATCCATTCGTTGTGCTCTCTCAAATCCTAATCTTCTGGATTCGTCAGCACCCCTACCTTTGTCTTTCTAACCTTATCTCACTCACTGAATTATACTTCTTGAATAATATGTTCGAACCCTATTCTTCTTCATTACCATTAATACCTCCTCTACTATCTTTATCACTATTGGATTTGATTTGACATTTGCGTCTCTGTGGTGATGTGGTATGGCAACATGAACTTATGTACATACATACGTACGAAGTTCTACGTTGCAACTGACTGACTGACTGAATAATCTATAACTATGGTAATAATTGAATTTTGATTATTATTATTATAAAAATGGGCAAGATTCATCTGCCACAAACAATCATGCATGCCTGCATGCCTGTGTGTGTGTGGGTTTGTGCAGGCGTATGCGTACACGGGCGCGAGAGAGTGGATGTGTGCGTGCGTGCATACGTGTTTCTTATTTATGACAATGTTGAAATGAAGCTGGACGATACAACAACAACAACAACTGTTTTATAAATGTCATATATCTAAGGACAAACAAAGAAACTGGACGAAATCAACTTAGAATATAGAATATAATGTTGTGAATGGTCTATGACAACACGATGATAATATATAATAACCAACTAACCATCATCACCGAGTTAAATGTTAATAAACCTCAAACCAACAACCGAATTGAATGCAATAAATCTGATGTTTTAATTAATAATTTTTGCATGAAGATTTTGATTTGACGAAAAAAAAAATATGTTTTCTTCGGGTTTTTTTATTTTCACATATTTGGTGACCTACATAAATGTATGCATATATATGTAGAGAGAGAGAGAGGGAGACAGAGGATGGACAGGACAGCTGTTTCGATTAAGATTTTTTTTTGTGAAATATTTTATTTAAAAATGGTTAATAAGATTTTTGAAATTTTATTCAAATTATTAATAATGTGACTTGTAGTGAAGGAGAACACAGAGGTGAGGCCAAACGAATTGTATTTAACGAAAAAAATTACAGAGTTTGTTACTCAGTAAAATAGGAAAACCATATCGTAAACGGTTAATTTGCAAATCTTCAATCCACCATCAATCCATTGTCTGACATTTCACTTATTCATGCGTTTCATACAAATTCCATTGTGTTCCCACTCTTCTTGCTTTCTTGATCTTCCACCAGACATTACGTTTACACTCACGTCATATACTATTTATAAGTAGCGTGCACCACAGACTTACTTACTTACTTACTGACTAACTGACTGGTTGACTGATTGACTGACTGACTGATGTGATGCTTTGTGAAGCACAAACTGCTAACCAGTCAGTATTCGTCAATCAATTAATTCTATTCTGTGCTCTTCATATTCATTCTTTGACCGTGTTCTTTAGTTGTCCACGTTTTGTTTTACAGTGTGAGGATTTTTAAAGTTAGAGCTTTTGGTGGTGTTTCGTTCTCTCTCTGAGCTGGTTGTTTTGGTTGTGGAGCTTTCATCATTGTTCTTCTGCTACTGAACAACATCGTCATCAGTAGCACAAACTTCAGATAGAAGAATTGAAGTGAAGCATTCTGCTAGTTAGCAGAACAAGCTACAAGGTCAAACGTGGAGAAATTCGAATGCGCTTCACTTCACTTCTTCTATCTGAAGTTTGTGCTACTGATGACGATGTTGTTCAGTAGAAGAAGAACAATGATGAAAGCTCCACAACCAAAACATCCAGCCAGTTCAGAGAACCAAACACCACCACTACCACAATCATCCACCTGAGCTACAAGTTTTCTCCATCATCTCAAGTTAGAGCTTGTCGTTAGTTATATTGATTACAGTCAGTAATTTAATAGAATACACTTTTTAAAATTAAAACGTTTAGATTAGTTATAATATAGTAAGTTGTTAATAAGATAGATGGACAAATCGATAGTGTTTGCCCATAAGATTGATGAAGGTTGTGAGTTCGATGATCATGTGCGACTTTGTTGATTGATGCCTACTGTTTAAGAGTCAGTCTTATAGTAGAACAAAATAGCGCTCGAGTGCATCCACATTTTCAAGAGTATTCTAATCTCGGTCGATTCATGAGTGCAGTGAACGGGAATAGTCTTCACAAACTTATACTCCTTCCTATCGTTGTGTTTGTTCTGGAACTCCAAACAACTTTCAACCAAAACCAAAATAAGGATTTTCAATACAAATGTCAAGACAGTTCTACTGTATGGAGCGGAAACTTGGACAACTACGAAAGCCATCATCCAGAAGATGCATGTGTTTATTAACAGTTGTCTACGCAAAATACTTCGGATTCGTTGGCCAGACACCATCAGCAACAACGTACTGTGGGAGAAAACAAACCAGGTTCCAGTGGAGGAGCAAATCAGTAAGAAGCGGTGGAAGTGGATAGGACACACATTGCGGAAAGCACCTAACTGCGTCACGAGACAAGCCTCACATGGAACCCTCAATTTCAAAGGAAAAGAGGAAGGCCAAGGAACACACTACGCCGAGAAAGATATGAGAGGAATGAACAAACATTGGACAGAATTGGAGAGGGAAGCCGAGGACAGAGTTGGTTGGAGGAAACTGGTGGGCGGCCTATTCTCCATTTGGGGTAACAGGCATAAGTAAGTATGTAAGTAAGAAAGTCTGAAAGTCAGCCAGTCAGTCAATAACAATGTAGAACTTTGTACGTATGTAAGTACATTATTGTAAATTGCCATACCATATTAGCACGGAGATCCAATTGCCACTTCAAATCCCATAGTAGTAGCAGAGGTAGTACATTAGCACAGAGATGCAATTGTCACTTCAAGTATTAGCAGTAATCAGAGAGATTATAGGATTCGAGGATATTATTCAAGAAGTACAATCATAAAGGTGATGAGGAGCTCTATAGGGTTAAGATTTAACAGAACACAAAGAATGGATACACACACCTGCGCTATTGCAAACGATTTTCAGTCATATCATTCATTCAAAGGACTAGTTTGAAAATACAATGAAGCACATTAGGGTAGATTTCCTTACTAGTTACATAACACATAGTTTATCTCTAACAGAATTCATGATGATTGAAGTATTACTTAACTACGATATATATATATATATATATCCTCAGTTGCTTTGTCCTAATTTAACCCAACACAGCATACACCTCCCTTGCTTAGTTGAAGTCAAAAACTACACTCCTCTTCATATCAAACAACTAACTATGATTACTAGTTTATATACCTCCAAGTATTGATAACTTGTTTTTATTTCACTTTTCCCTTCCTTTCCTTCCCTCCCCTCCCCTCCCCCTCCCACGATTGATTTTATAAAAATCATTTAGCCAAATAACAATCATGACAATGTTGATGATCATTCTAGTCATGTTCAGCCATCAAGCTCATCTAGCCAGTCACAGAATCGACGTCAGTTGAATAAATCAAATTTATCAGCTTATCATAACAAAGAATGTCAACAGTTATCATCTGACAAAGAAGTAGAAATTGAAGATGATAATGAAGTCGAAGATAACAGTGTAACGATTGATTTTAAAAATGACTGTACTGATAAAGATGATCAGAATCATGCCACTATTGACGAGGATGGGGGTGATGGTGGTGATGGCGACGATGTCGACGGTGGTGAAGTCGAAGAGGATAACGACGGTACCGATCATGATGATAATGATGATAATAATAACAATTCTTATTTAATCAATCAACACCCTACTCATCCATATGTTACATCATTCCCAACGTTGATAACATCTGACAATCTTACTAATTGTATATCACCAATGTTAGCCGCTGCTGCAATGGCTGCTCTAACCACTGGTTGTTTTCCTACATCATGTAATCAATTAAATCAGTTCAATTATTCGCTATTATCAAAATCTTATGGAATATCTCAATTATCTGCACCCCCACCGCCCCCACCATTAACAACACTATTGCCACCACCTCAGCCTTCCATGTCATCGTTGTCGCTGTCGCCATCGCCATCAGCATATCCTCAGCGTTTACACACCACCACCACCACCAAACAACAATCGTCGTTTTTTAATTCAACACCAAATAAAAATTCCAAACTGAACGGTACTCATCACCATCCTCACCCTCACCAACATAATGTTCATATGAATAGTCTGTCATCATCATCATCATCCTCATCAGTAGCTATTGTCGGCGGTCATTCAGCTAATTCACCGATTCAATCAAACACTGATCATTACAATAATAATAATAAGACTCATCCCATGTCCTCCACATCACCATGTACACCAATGCAATATTCATCACGATCAAATAGTCCACATCAAGCGTCAACTAATCATCATCATCAGCATCATCGATTCATTTCATCCAGTAATGCATTGAATTATTTCTCATCTATGAATGATGACGTAGAAGGCGAGGAAGAAGAGAATGATGATGATGACGATGAAGTAGGCGGTAGTGACGATGATGATGATGATGAACTGGATGCTGATGGCGGTGGAGATGAGATGGATAAGAATTCCTCTACACCCGGTAATACTAATACTAATAATAATAACAATCATCAATGGACATTTGAAGAACAATTTAAACAGGTAAGTAAGAGTTTATGGTATTGTTTGTTGTAAAAAAGAGAGTAAGAGTTTTGTTACAGGCATCATTTTGAAAGCACTGACTGAAACATGACTGTTTCATCCTTGTATGCGATTATTCATTAGGTGCAGTGTGCATCCATGACAGCTGCATTGGGCAGGATTTGAAATCAAGACTTGCAGCACGGTCTTGCAGCACGCATGAATGCCTAAACTCTGGGAATCACTGTAGGATTTAATTTGTCCTGTAGTGAAGGAGAACACAGGTGGGGCAACCGGATTGTATTTAACGAAAATTACAGAGTTACTCAGTAAAATCATCGGAAAACCATATCGTAAATCGTTCATTTGCAAAATATCAGTTCATCATCATATCGAACTGGACTGTTCCTGTTGCAAAAAAACATCAATCCATTGTCACTCACTATTCATGCGTTTTTCACACAAATTCCATTGTGTTCTAACTGTTCCTTTCTTGATCTTCCCCCATCTTCTGCTGCCAGACATTACGTTTTCACTCGCGTCCTATACTACTTATAAGTAGCTCGTACCAGAGTCCTACTTTGTACTTGTAGAACTGTAAACGTAATATTGACGAGCACAGAGTCTATGGGAAAGCCATAGTCAAACACAAGATCAATTTGGTTGGCTTTAAACTTTATCTGTTTCTAAACAGAAAAACAATTAGATTAGTACAATAATTTAGAGAAAATTACAGTTAGTTATCAAGTAAGATGAGCACAAACATACCGACCAATACTGCGTGTCTGTCTTATGGAAAATCGATAAAACTATGAGTCATATCAATCAATAATAATAAGATAATCATGTCCTTCAAAATTAGTAGGTCATTTACAATAAAGTTAGTTTACAGACATGTCAGATCAGACCAGATCACGTGATGAACGCTAAAAACTACAATTTGATTGGTTAGTTATGTATGATATAACTACAATTAGTTAGTTATGAAAATAACTAACAATCACTGTTGTTTTCACCTTTTGGAGGAATTTCTTCAAAAAAACATAGAAATCAGAGTGGATTAAGAGTGATCATGACTACTTTGAATTGTGTTGAAAGATTTCAACCGATACACTTACTCTCTATCATGGTTATTCTCATGATTAAGCAAGCATTCAGCTTGAGATGTGAAGGTCTTGGGGTTCCACACTTAATCAGGTCATAAATTCTTAAATTATATCGTAATCTGACACCGATAAGATAAATGTCAAATATATCACCGATTTTGCATAGACACAAGAAAGAGTTATAAGTTTTTGTCTATCCTTTAACTCGCTGATTGTTTTCAGAAGAACTATCAGTCTCATAACACATTCAGTGACTTGATTTTTTCACTATGATATGTCATAACCCCCTCTCTATCTGAAGAAGACCTTTCATTTCCCATCGTAGAATTTCTTTTTTATGTCAGAGATGCTTGTGTGGTGGTGTTTCGTTCTCTCTCTCAGCTGGATGTTTTGGGTTGTGAAACTTTCATTGTCATTCTTCTGAACTACAACATCATCAGAAGAAGTGAAGCGCATTTGAATTTCTCCACGTTTGACATGTAGCTTATTCTGCTAATCTCGATTTTGATTGATATTGGGGATGTTAGATCCCTCTCAGAACTCGTTTGATAAATATCTTTATTTTGGATTTATTTCATGAACCGATCGGTTGGTTGACCTTGAAATCACATTTCTCACCAAGAAAAATCCTTGGCTGTAATTGGTTACTGTGTCCTTTTAATGTGTTATTTTTGTGACTGTCCCAAGGACGTCTCTATAGAGTATAAATAAACGCAATTTGAGTACTTTGATTCATTGTGTACTGGTTGGGTGTTTGTAGAATACAATTTCTACACACTATATCAAGACTTCTCGCTGATACAATTTGGTCAAGGGATCACAGTAGCCTGCCTGGACACTAAGGTGAACTCGTGTAATCGTTTTAAACATACCTAAACTCGAGCATAACAATTAGTTGCTGTTGACATATAGGAAGCTTCTATTTACAACATGAACCAAATATAACCTTCATCCTTTACTACTAAGACTCTTAGTCAAATCAAAAATCTATCCATACATTATAACTTCAGTTATTCAGAGTACATTCTCATCACTCACTCACTCATTCACTGACTTTCTCATTTAAAATAACTTTTCTGTCAATTTTTAAGAAGAAGATTGAGTGGTTACAAACAAAATATATTCCCATATTGTCACACTGTCATGAATTCTGATTTCCTTATTTTCGGTATCATTTAGTAGTTGTATAGAGATATTAAAAAAAAATTATAAATCCTGCATAGCATAACGCGTACTTAACTTGCTTGCTTGCTGATGAGTATTCACATACTGAAATACAATTTCATCCATCTGTTTAATACACTCATACATACTCTAATAATATTCATTTAACCCCACCCTCTCTATCTCTCTATCTATCTCTCCTTCATTATTTCTCCTCTCCTCCCCCCCCCGATTCAACTTCTCCTCATACACCATACATACATACAGACTGTTCTTTTAGAAGAATACTAATCAATATTTCAATAATAATAATAATTATTATTATTATCATCATCATAAAATTTTATGATGATAAACTTTTAAATTATTCATATTAAATCGTTTAAATGAAATGAATATACAAGGGGGATGTATGGTACAACGCACCTGCGCGTAGATGTGTGTGTGTGTATTTGTGTGTGTGCGTGTGTATGTATCGTATATTAAATTTTAAAAATAAATCACATACACACACACAAATCAGAAGTTAATTTTTTTTCAAAAAAAAAAATTACGCGCGATTCATGTCTGTTTTTTTGTGTGTATTCTTCTTCAATGTTCAATGTTTCAATATACACACTAAATTCAATCACAAATAAATAGCGATACATAAATACAGATAAATTTTTGTTATTACAAAATTATTGAAACATTTAATGAATAACTATTTATTATTATTATTATTATTATTATTATTATTACTGTTATTATTAATTAATTAATTAGGATAATTTCACTCAATCATAATATTATATCGTATTGTGTGTGTGCATGTGTGCGGGTGTGTAAGTGTGTATCTAGATAATTTTACAAGCATTTTCACTTACAACAATCTTCTAGTCCGTTTTTTTTTATTCATTCATAAAGTTTTATTTTATAACAACAAGAACAGAAAAAATTTGAACAACGATGTATATTAAATGTTTTTATGTAGGAGAATGCCTTTTGGGATAATCAGTAATAAGATTTGTAGTTGAAATCTCAAGGGATTAAATATATATATATAAATTTGACTTTTAAATAGATTTATACACAGTGTGTGAATTATTTATTGAGAAATATATATATATATATATATATATATATATATATATATATATATATATAATTATCATGATAGGATAGTAATAGTGTACTGTACTTATGCCTGTTACTCCTTAACGGAGTGTATATGATGTATGTGTATATAGACCGCCGACCAGTATTCAAGCATCAGCTCTGTGCTAAGCGTTTAATGTGTAGTTCTACACAACCTGCTTACAACTTACTTACTTAATTACTTACTTACTTACTTACTTACTTGCTTACTTACTTACTTAGTTACTTATGCACTTACTTGCTGACTGACTGACTGACTGACTGACCTATGCACTTACCTACTTACTGACTTAGTAACTCCGGTTAATCATAATTTAGCCTAGGCCACCGATTCGCATTCTCCAGTCAACTCTTTCCTCGGTCTTCCTTTCAAGTTCACTTCAAATATTGTTCATTCTTCTCATATCGGTCTCCATTTGTCGGTGTAATATTTTACTTTGTCTTCATCTTTGCCTTTGCTCTTATGCGTTCTAAGTTAGGGCTTATCTTGTAATGAGATTGGGTGATTTCCCCCAATATGCGTCCTATCCACTTTCAGAGATTTATCCTGATTTCTTCTTCCGCTGGAATCTGGCATGTTCTATCCTACAGTATGTTGTTGTTGTTGTTGTTGATGATGATGTCTGGGCAATGAATCCAAAGTATTTTGAGTAGACAATTGTTAATAAACACTTGTATCTTGTGGATGATGGTTTTTGTGGTTTTTTTAAGTTTCCGTCCCCCATACAGTAGAACTGTTACTTATGTTAGTTGGCAGTTGCTTTAAGTTCCAGTTGTTCTTCATTTGTAGAACTATTGCCCTAAGTTTCGAAATAACTTTGATCAGTTTTCAGTCAGTCAGTCAGTCAGTCAGTCACATACAACGTAGAAATTCGTACGCACATACATCAGTTCATGTTGCCATACCACATTATTAGCACAGAGACGCAACTCTCAGTTCCTTTCTAGTTCTATTCAATTATTGTTCATTCTTCGTATGTCTGTCCATTTGAAGCCCTCTAGGCCTCCTGTCGGTCTCAAGCCTTGATAAAGGGGTTCTCACTTCAATCTGTAGTGGTCGTGGTTGTGCACTGTTGATGGGTCACATTTTAGAACGAAACGGCTGTTCTGTACTTATAGTGTAACTCAACAATCTTCACAACCCTATCATGATAATAAAACTTTCACACATTTGAAATCATCAATCAATCAATCATTGTTAGACCCCCATTAGAAGAAACTTGGAAGCACTGAAAGACGGCCGCTTCGTCCTGGTATGGGATTCATCAGTGGCAGTGCGCATCCACAACCCATGTATCTCGCAGGATTCGAACACAGGATCTTCGGTATTGTGCGCGAACGCCTAACCTCTCGATCAATGTACCAGCATCCAATGGTGTTAATGTCTAAAACTCTGATTGATCTATGGATTTTGTGCGACCTCATCCATTTGTCTTTTTGGTGGGTAGTTACTGCTGCCTATACCCGACACAGAGTTGAATTCCATTTGCTTACGACATCTTCTCAACTAGAACTCCGTGAATTTCCCCACACGAAACTAGTAGTCAGTAGTCACTAATGAGCACATGTTACTACGATATTTTCAGGGCAGAGTTTTGAATTGATTAATGATTT